ATTATCCTTATCTCTTAAAGAGAGTCCAGATCCAAATACAAGGTTTGGATTAGGAAACTCCTAATGGGATTAGGAGGACCTCTCTTTAAGGCTATAAATAGAGGAGGAGGGCGAACCCCAATTCACCCAAGCTGATTACAGATTCAAGAAAGAAGACAGCTCCAGTAAGACTGACACCATCTTCTGCTCTTGCCTCCCTTTATTTCTACCGCCATTGCTAGTTCGTTCTCCACCTGCAGGAGCAATCAAGAAGCATTCTTGATATCATTTTTTGGTGAAAAACTGATCTGAAGCCATGCTCACTCACCCTCCATCGATTTCTTGCTGAAGAACCACCTGCTGATTCAGCTCCACCCTACGCTGTGTCATCTTCAGTGGGAGCAGTCTTTGGCGTTTTCCTTGGGCGTGAACACCTTCGTTGGGAGTTACTGTTACTCCATATCAGGTATATCCCTCTCATACCTTTTGGTTTCAGATCTGGTCCGGTTTAGGTTCAAGATTGATCCTTGGAAATGCAGATTTTCTAAAACAGGGAATGTGATTCCCACATGGGAGAGAGATAAATTTTTGAAATTTCACCCTACCTACCTGCAGGGTTCGTCTATCCATATGATGGATCTCTCATCCCTTCAATCAGATCCTTCTTATCTTCCTTCTTGGTTTCACACTTTCACTGCCACCAATCTCCAGTCTGTTTAGGTTTCACAGTACTGACCATGGCTGACTGTTCAAGACCTGAATTCCTCATCATTACATTCCTCCTGCTCTCTTCCCCTGATACAAAGGCATATGTTTGAGAGAGTGTAACACTATACCTAGAAAGGATATGTTGCCTTGCAATGTCATACTCGGGATTGAGACCAGCAAGAAATTCAAAAACCTTGTTCTTCTCTAAGAGTTTCTGGTAGGCAGTAGCACCCTTAGTGGTTTCCCAAACCACTGTCTCTAGATGGTCAATCTCCTACCATAGTGTTTTAAGGGTCGAAAAATAAACAGCAATAGGTTTATCTCCCTGTCTAGTAGAGATAACCTGGTTCCTTAACTGATATGCCCTAGCAACACTTTCATTCTATGAGAAGGTTTCTGCAACTCCATCCCAAATTTCCTTAGCTATATTTTCCCATAAAAAAATTTTACTTATATGGGGCAACATAAAATTGCACAACCAAGTCATTACCATATAGTTTTCCTGTACCCACCAGGAATTGTTAGTCTCGGGTTTTACTTCCTCACCAGTGATATACCCCAACTTCTCAGGAGCACCAATGGCCATCTTTGCAGATTGTGACCATTGTAAAAAATTTGCACCATCCAACTTAACTATAGTGATGGTTCCATCCCCGAAAAGGTCTCTGGTACTTTCTCCCACTGGTTTCATTTCACTTCCCAGTTGGTTCTCAACTCTGTGACCCTCCATAATCCCCAAAAAAGAGGTAAAAGATCACTTTAAGATGAAAGAGTATGAAATAAAACCCTTCAGGCACCACAAACACCCCTCTAGTACCCTAGATTATCCTTCCACAAAAGATTCCCATTCTGCAGGATGGGAGAAGAGAGAGAAGAAGCAGTCGCTCCCTCTAGAGGCTCCAAAACAGATGGGACTTGAACTGCCCCCTTTAGAAAACTCCAAGGAACCCTAAAAAATTAGGGCGCCACTTCCTAGATCAAAATTGAAGAGTCCTACAAAAGCAGGACTCTCCCCCTTTCTCCAATTCTTCCTGAATTTGATGGGAAACCCTAAACCAGCTACAGGGCAAAACAGATCCACCAAAAAATCCAAAAACTGGGCTTAACTGAGGTCTTCGATCACCCTCTCATATTACCATGCAGTCGGTCGATCTAGGGCTGCATGATAAAGCAGCTCAAGAAACCTTCGGCCTGCTCTGATACTAAGTAGAATTTGCTGATAATAATTTTAGATGAATGCCTTGTGAAGAAAAGTAGAAGAAGCTGAAAGGTTTCAGCAGTAGAGAAGAAGAAGAAGAAGAGAGAAGAAAAGAGAGTGGGGTGTTGCCAGATTTGAATAGGTCTGGCCGCCAGCCCCTCTTGATTTGTATACTTAAAATAAAAGAATGGAAGATTACATGAATACCCTTAGTAGGGCGGCTACTCTAAGTAGCTGAACAGTCAACTTAAAATAACATAAACTAATGGGCCTAAAGCCCAATTACTTCCTAACTTAACAACTTAAAAATAAAAATAAAAGACGGGGGCCCAATAACTTAAATTCGGCCTAACTCAACAGGTTTGTTTCCTCCCTGGTACGAAATCTCATTGTATAGGGTTTTCTTTTGTGTCTGTTCTTTTTGAATGAATTACATTACCTTTTCTTCCAAAAAAAAAAACATGACTGAGATTCTTCCCATTTAAAGGGTCTTAGGTTGATCTTTTCTTATGAATTTCAATTAAGGCGGAGGGAGATACACATGGTTATTAGCTGGATGAGGTAGCTCTTTTATGGCCTTTGCCACCTTCATCATCCCATTAGAGACACTAGATCCTTTGCATGCAGTGTTAACATCTCATTTGTATGGACCCTAATGCTGTGGTTGGCTTGATAGAAAATAAGATCACAAAATTCCTTAAGAATTTTCCATCAACTATCTGTTTCTCTCTTATTTTCTATCAAACTAAGCACAGCTAAGGGTGGTTGAATATATAACTACGGATCAGATAAGAAAGTTGTGACTATATTAGAGGTCTTCTCTTTGTGGGAATGGCCTCGTGTGGGATTTGGGTTTCAGAAGACCTTTGAGGGATCATGAAACAAATGACTAGTTCCTTTTTTGAACTTACTTCAGGATGTCAAATTATCCCAATCAGGGAATGATTAGAGAATATGGGTTCCTACTACAAAGGGCAACTTTACCTGTTCTTCCCTTTTTTAAGGTCTTCTTTCCCCTTACCAAGAACCAACCTTTTTCCTGCAAGAGAGATGTGGTATAGCCCAATTCCACCTAAAGTCAGAGTTTTTTGCTAGGAGGCTGTCAACCAAATCATAAATACCTATGGAAGTCTCCAAAGAAAGGGTTCTCTCTCCTCATGTGTTTATCCTATGTTTGAATAGTGGGAAAAAACACCAATCACATTCTTTTACATTGATCCTATGCCTATAGACTGGCAGCTATTCTTCAGGCTGTTTGAAAATACTTGGGTGGCACTGGATGAAGTGAGAGATTTGTTTGAATCAAATTTGATTGGTGGTTGCACCGGGAGACACAAGATTTTGTGGCAATATGTACGTGGGGCAGCGCTATGGGGCCTTTGGCATGAAATAAATGCAAGGATTTTTGAAGAAAGGTTCAGGAGTGTAAAGGATGTTTTTGAACTCACAAAGATTAGGGCTCCTCATTGGGATGTGATTTGTGAGGATTTTAGAGGTGCCTTCCTTAATGATTTGGATTTGCTAAGGAGGTGGCAGCTTGTTGCTGGCTATCTAATTCAAAGGCAACAAGGGGGGGTGGTCCCCTCCTTCAGAAAGGGTGGTGAAACTGAACTTTGATAGATGCTATCTTGGAAATCCAGGGGCTTCAGGTG